CTAATGGTGAAAACCGCAGGTCTCTAGCTACATCCGTTCAGGAGATATTCCTCCTTGAGTTTTCTCCATCTACTTCTGGCGCCGGCATTAGTTCAGAGTATGACTACCTAATATTGAAATTCTTTTAGAGAATTAACAAACAAGAAGCAACGATACTTTTGATCCCCTAACGGCAGCTTTTCGTGCTGTTTCAAGATCATTTAATAATGTTTCATTAGTTGAATCGATTGCAAGACCTTCTTCATAAGTATTAATTGCTTCTTCGTATCGTTTAAGAAGTAATAATGCTGCACCTTTCCGAGAGTAACCCTATGGAAAAATAAAACTAATAAATTTAAGTATGAAACACAAAAAAAAACAGAAAATTTTACTTTAACAAAATCCGGTTTAAGTTTAAGACATTGTTCTGCATCTTTCAATGCTGCTTTATATTTATAAGATTTTGTGTAAGCAGCTGATCGATTACTATAAAGAAAATGATTATTTTCATCAAGTGCTATTGCTTGTGTATATAAGTCAATTGCTTCATCATATTGTTCTGCTGAAAAAGCATCATTAGCTTTTGATTTAAGTTTTTCCATCTAAATAAATTAATAAAAATCTTTTTAAAATGTTGAACTGAAGAACATTACTTTTGATGCCATTTGGTAAATATGGTGACTACTGCTAATAGAAACAAAATCTACAAAAACATATATACTTATATATTCAAACTAATCGAGGGTAGGTGTGCTTGTGTAAGACAGCAAACGATCCACAACCACACTACCCTATTGTAAACTTTTTATCAAAAAAAATAGTCGTAAATCGCTTGATTATTCTCGATTCAGATTATGTTTCAACACACCAGAGATTTTGTTTTTCGTCCAAAATACTAAAAAATACAGTGTCAGTTGCCCAAACAAATCAGCTGTCTAAATTATTATATATAGTCTGTTTCCAGTGCCTTTGTAGTTCATCATGAGCGAGCGAAATCATAATCTATACAAAATATATTACGTAACTTTTGATTTTCAAAAAAAATGGTAAAAACTATTGAAGAAAGTTTACCTTCAAGATGAAATAAAACTCACAAATCTCTGCTTTGTAGGAATTTTTATTGATAAGACACGACTTGTAAGTCAAATAGATTTAAATATTTGAAATCAGCGTTAAAAACTATGTTCGTTCGAATAATTTAAAGAAATATCTTCCCTGAAGAAAATCACCTATAATATATTCGATTCGATGCAGTTTGTGACGCTGATTCCCAATATCAAAATTAGTTCGACCTACAAGAGTGTTTTGCCAATGAAAGCGCCTATGAACATATTGTTTCTTTCCAAGAGTTTTTAAAAAGCTCTATGAAATAGAGATTTACAATTCATTAGAATAGGCATCCAACTTTCAATATCAAATATCTATA